CTTGGAAAGTACTTGACTCATAGCAGGCATCCAAAAACCATTGATTACTTACACTTTTAACACCAAAGTGGTTTAAAACTAAAGACAATAGGAAATATGGTTTCCAACAGAAAAGTAGATTTTTTTGGTGAAAGTAAAACAATGATTCTAAAAAATATAATTGTTCACACTGATATTTAAGTCTTAGAAACAAAAGTATCCTATCAAAGATATGAGATTTTATGTACTTATCTTAAATAATCATAATGACTGACATTTATGAAATGCTCTCTATGTGCCATGCACATAGATTCAATTATTTGATCCTTAAAACCATCCCATTCAACAAATGAGCAAACTCATTTAAGATGTGGACATACTAATAATTTTTCCAATGTCTTAAAGACTGTAATCAACAACAAAAGGGTCTGAAAAAAAAGAATATAGATGTAGAAGAATCACATCTATTTTATTGATTTTTTCCACCAAATTTCCACCAAATCAACAACAAAAGGGTCTGAAAAAAAAGAATATAGATGTAGAAGAATCACATCTATTTTATTGATTTTTTCCACCAAATTTCCTCCAAGTAATTGGTGTTGCTGTAGTTAAGAAACCCACCAATGATTTCCATTGCCAATTGTTCAACATATTTGTGCTGTTTTAAAATAAAAATTTCTGGGGCACCTGAGTGGCTCAGTTTGTTAAGCCTCCAACTTCGACTCAGGTCATGATCTTCCGGTACCTGGGTCTGAGCCCAATGGTGGGCTCTGTGCTGAGAGCTCAGAGCCTGGAGCCTGCTTTCGATTCTGTGAGTGCCTCTCTCTGCTCCTCCCCCACTCGTGTTCTGTCTCTCTCTGTCTCTCAAAATTAAACGTTAAAAATTTTTTTAATAATAAAAAATAAATAATAAAAATTTCTAAATCATACGCTACACTAAATGTATATTCAACAAATACTACTGCACAGGCCATTTCAAGGTAAAAGTAAGTTTCAAATTTTACAAAACATTATAATAATACAGATGCTTAAGGAAATGTTTGATTCTGAATATAATTTTCTACTCTTAGATGAATTTCCTGGAGGTCAAAACGTAATTTTGGGGGGTCATTTATTTGCATTTTTACCACTGCTTCTTCAGAGTTAAATGCTAGTGCTTGGCTAAAAGGACCCCAAGCATTAAAGTAAAATAAGAATAATGTGAAATGATTCCTTATCTTCTAAAAGCAATGCTCACCACTAGCCCACATATAATTCTACATAAGTTCCGTATTTGACTCAAGGCAAACATCCGTTGCAGAACATTAGACATGGCATTTTTCAAAGAAAGCCCAGGGAGTTTCAACTCTTCCATCAGGCACTAATGGAGGCACGAGTTGTGCCCCAGATTTTCAGTGAAGGGAAATGGAATGAAGAGACAGAGGTTTAATCCAGTCCTGCAATACGATGGCTTCAGCATAACTTAATATTCAATCCCTGTGAGAGAAGCGAGGGGATGAAACTATACACATTTGCACAAGATTGTGATCCTGACGTGCTCCCATCAAGTGTGAACCTCCAACAGCCTGTCATCTTCCAGGGACATGACTCAGTTAAACAATGCGACTGAAGAGGATCATAGTATCACCGTGTCCAGATACTCCTTCATTCTCAGCTTTCTACAAATTCCCATCTTTTTTCTTCATTGCTCATGATTCCACCAACAAAAATAGTTCCTTATAGGAAAGGAGAATTTTTTTCTAGAATGAAAATGGCTGAACTTCACAAACATATAACAACCAGAAGTATTTACCTGAGCTTCACTTTAGGTTTTTATTGCACACCTTAGTAACAGAATCATGTATCAACAAACTATGTGTTTCCTTGGTGTGTAGCATTGCCTTTTTTAGTAGGAGTCCAAGAATGTCTGGGAAGCAGCCCGCCAGAATCGTCCTAATAATTGTACATGTTTTACCAGTTACCAAATTCTTTCACACATACTTAGCTTTAGCTTCGTAACAACCCTGTGAGGAACAAGGCAACGTTACCATCACTTTATTTTAAGGAGATGCAGAAATTGAAGCTTAAGACATTGTTTCCTTAGGTCTCAGGGATGGTGAGTGTGAAGACACAGGACTAGAACCCACATCTCATTTGTCAAGATTCAAGGATGGTTCTATAAGTCACACAAACAAGCATGAACTAAAGAGAGAGCAGGACGTGTTTACCAAAATGGCAGGCTTAAGTCAGGGAAATATTAAAAAGCACAGAGCTCAAAAGCAAGGCATGGTCTGGTCAGCATTGGATGATCATATATTTTAAAGTATTTTGAGAGTAAGAGGGATATTGCAATATTATGATTATTGTTTATAAGAAATATGTATTTGGTCTTTGTCCCCATTTCATACACAAAGTTCCTAAAACCCTTGGAATTTCCTCTGATGAAGAGTAATAAAGGTGTCTTTTGTTATGTTAATGAGGTGACTTTGGGAAAGCACTTAAAGATGGGGGCTAGTTGCCAGTGGGGCCAACCACGTGATCAGAAGGTTGGAACTTTCACTCACACCTCCCAACCTCCAGGGAGGGAAGACAGTGGCTGGGGGTTGAATTAATCACCAACAGCCACTGAATTAATCAATCTTGCCTATGTAGTAAAGTCTCCATAAAAACGCAAAAGGATGGAGTTTGGAGAGCTTCGGGGTTGGCGAAGATGGGGACGTGTGGGGCAAGTGGCGTGCCTGGAGAGGGTAGAAGTTTGGGCCCCTTCCCACATGCCTTACAAGATGCATCTCCTCCATCTTGCTGTTCCTGAGTTATATCCTTTTATAATAGACTGATGATCTAGTAAGTAAAAAGTTTCTCTGAATTCTCTGAGCCACACTGACAAATTAATCAAATCTGAGGAGGCGTTTGTGGGAACCTGATTCATAGTCAGTTGGTCAGAAGCACAAGTGACAATTTGCATTTGTGACTGGTGTTTAAGGGGTGAGGCAGTCTTCAACCTGTGGAATCTGATGCCATCTCTGGATAGGTAGTGTCAGAATCGAGTTGAATTGTAGGGCATCCAATTGGTGTCAGAGCATTGCTTGAATGTGTGTGGAAGCCCCCACTCTACACTTTGGAAATTGAGTACAGGAACTCAAAAAAGGTATGTTAATAATATGCCAAGACAAAAGGTGCTTACCAGGAAATGGGAAACAAATCACTCCAAGCTACAAGATTACTGTGAGTGAACTCTCACAGATAAGTTAGGGTATTTGAGGACAAAATTTCCAAAATGGGAACCCAAAACTGTTCGTTATAACTTAAAGTTGATGGAGGTCAGTAAGGAACAAATAGTGAGAGGAGAAAAGAGCAGACAGCCAAAAAGAACTGAACACTGTTTCTGGAGACAGGTAGTAAATGGAGATGCGGAGTATTATAATAAAAACGATTACAATAACATAAATGTCTGCCATTTATTGAGTTTCTGCTAATGCCTCAAAAACCCTGAAACTTACCCATTTCCACTCTTATTTTACACAGGAGATAACTAAAGTTCATAAGGGTTAGGTTATCTACATTCCCTGAGCTAATAAAAAGCACAAAGTGGATCTGAACCCAGATCAGTCTGAATCTTACAAAATATTTTAACTATGGGGTAAAAAGACCAATACAAAACAAGTTATTATTATTTGTGGTCTAAAAACCAGGACAGGAACTCAAGAGGCAGCCTGACTGTCAGAGCCAAGAACAAATGAAAGAAAAGGGCTACTAGCCAAGGTCAAACTAGGTCATCTGGAGGCGAGACAGAGTCCGAGATAGGGTCCTATACGTAAAAAAGATGAGTTTGTCGATTTCAATAGGTGAGGTGCTATAGAGCAAAACTCCACTACAGTTTTCAGCTTCATCTCCTGCATCTTTCCTCATCTTAAGGCTTTGATACAACCCATTAACATAGGAGACCTAGTACTGAGAAAAGGGCATTTGAATCCTTGACTCAATATGATACTGCTTCTCCAAGGTGTGAAGTCAAGTGAAGGAAGGAAGGTTCATCTAGAAACGAATGTGAGTATGTAGTGATCTTCGGGGGCAGAAAGGTGAATAAAATAAGTTGAGTATGGAAGGAGGTTCCTGTCCATAGTAATATATCTGAGCCAAATAAATAAAATACCATGAGAATTTGGGTTAGATTAACAGTGTGATTAGAACCCAGAGTTTTGCCAAGATTGGAGTCTTTAGAGTAGGACTATGTATAGAGTGGATTCTGTTGATCCCTGCTCTTTTAAAAAAAATTTTTTTTTTTTACATTTTATTTGTTTTTGATAGACAGAGCACAAGTGGGGGAGGGGCAGAGAGAGACAGAGACACAGAATCCGTAGCAGGCTCCAGGCTCCGAGCTGTCAGCACAGAGCCCAATGCGGGGCTCGAACCCACAAACTGCAAGATCATGACCCGAGCCGAAGTCGATGCTTAACCAACTGAGCCACCCAGGTGCCCCTGTTGATCCCTGCTCTCAAGTAAAGGGGCACTGAAGTCCAAATCCTTGTCCCAGGATTTGCAGGGCCATGACAAGCATATCTACAGTAAAGGATTAAAATGGACAGCAGGCAAGTCATAATGAGCAGGATTGGGAAATGTGTCCAAAGGTCATCAGATGCAAAGGGGGTACTTTTGAGACACATGTAAATAGACAATGAGCAATTGATGTCATAAACCGGTCTGCTTACCAACCCTAAACTCTCTCAGTTTTTAGTAACGCTTAGTGCACACTTGAAGAGACCATGAGTGTACCATTTAGTAGACATTGTGTTACAGGAAGAGGTATGATCAGAGGAACACCAGCAGGAAAGACCTTGATATCAAGGATGTAATCTCCCATGGCAGATACCCCAGAGCTCCTTAAGATCCTGCTATGGTGAGGCCTTGGTAATTTCAGTTGGGGATACACTTTCTTGACAGAAGCCTTGAGTGGCACTAATTCTTCCCAAGAACGACGGTATTTGCACATTCTTGGGTAAGGCTGGTCACAGGGAGTATGAAGTGTTTTGTTAACTTCTTACCTCTACATCCACATCTCCTTGATAGTTTGTGGCTCCTCTCTGTGGCCTTATACCTTGTGCCTCATGTCCTCCCCAGAACAGCCCTTCTGAAGCCTGCAGAGGACCAGAATAAAGGAGCATTTTTAATTCCTGAAGTGATATTTTTGATGTTAATATTTGTAATATGTCCCACCGATTAGGAGATGCTAACGTTAACAAAACCTTGTATTCCTTTGCAATTGGCAGTAATTGATAGTGACAAGTGTCATGACTTGCATGAATGGGCTGGACAATAAACAGCCATATTTTGATCGAGGTAGTAATTACTGTTTCTTCATTAATTCATCAACCACATGGGTCTTTGAAGTGTCCCTGTCTAGTGATGCCATCTCATGTCACTCTCAGTGGGGAAGAAAATCCTGATTGATTTTCTCTCACAGTCACTCAGAATTGTTTCACTCTCTCACAGTCAATCAGAATCAATTTTAATGTAAGCTCCTAAACTTTATACAGTGAAGGGTGGTAAGGAAAGAGAAGTAAAACAAAAAGGATGTTTTCAGATACTGTTGTTGTTGTTGTTTTTATGACATGTCATTTTCCCCTTGGGTTGCTATAGTCCCAGCACCCTTTATCAACGGTTCTATCAGGGTATTCAAAGCAATGTCTCAATCCTATAGAGTATCCTTAAATTTACCTATCTTATCCACGACTATAAAGCCAAGTGAGTATATATGTATAGGGGGTGCATGTATAGGATTTTATACACAGACTTTTCTTGATTAATGGTGGGACTACATTCAGATAAACCCTCATTAGCCTGTAGTTGGACAAAAAGTCATCTAACACAAAGTCTATTTTATAATAGTGTTGAATATTTCCTGTAATTTACTGAATACTGTATTGAAAGTGAAAAGCAGAATGGCTGTATGGCTACAGAATGTATGGGCTATAAGTGGATCATAGCTTACTCTCATGGCTGTGTGGCTGATTGGGAGCTGTGGCTTGATGCCACTGCCCAGCATCACAACACAGCATCATACTGCATATTGCTAGCCAGGAAAAAGACCAAAATCAAAAACTGGAAGAATGGTTTCAGCGGAATTCGTATCACTTTTGCACCATCATAAAGTCAAAAAATCGTTGAGACACTGTAATTTGGGGACCATCTGCATATGTAGATGTACACATCGATATGTGTATTTTATACACCCCATGTATCAGGGGAATTATTTAAAATTTAGACTACTTCTAGTTCCTCTAAAAGGAGCAGCATCCAAGAACATTTGTCAAGTTTGGTAATGAGTATGAAAGTGAAATTTAAAGACACCAAAAGAAAATCAAATTTTAGTTCACAGTAGAGTCAGATGCCAAGAGAGGAGATGTGGAGGGGAGGCTTACAAAAGGAAAATGATGGAGCTGACATGGCTAAAGAAACTAACAGAAGAGGGTTAAAGTGACTGGCACTGGAATAGAATTCTAAGGAAAGACAAGACAGTTATCAGAAATGCCCCGTGTGGATGTCATGCCCTCACCCCAAGCTGCATATCAAAATATTTCTTCCGACATGTGTAAGACCCTCCCGGTGAAGAGTTCTAACAAATGAACTTTTAAGACAAATATGTAAGGAAAACAATCACAGATATAAATACACTTTCATTAACAGGAAAATGCAAATGTGATGTTGTGATTGTTAGTTTTATGTGTTTATTGAGTAGGCTAAGGGACGCCTATATAGTTGATCAACATTATTTCTGGGCATGTCTGTGAGGGTGTTTCCAAAAGAGATCAGCATTAGAATCCATTGACTGAGTAAAGAAGATCACTCTCACCAGGGCAGGTGGACATCATCCAACCCCTTGTGGCCCTGAATAGAACACAAGGGTGTAGGAAGGGTGAAGCTGCTGTTTGCTTGAGCGGGACATCACCTTTCCTGCCCTAGGACATCACTGAATTACACAACTGGCTTTCCTGTTTCTCCAGCTCGCAGATGGCAGATTATGGAACTCCTCAGCTTCCATAACTGCATGATGCAATTCCTATAATCTCTCCCCCACCCATAAATGCATACACACATGGATCTGTATACATCATAGATATGTCACAACTATATCTGTATCTGTATATACATTTATATTTGTGCATAACTATTCTGTGTAGGTTCCTATTGGTTGTTTCTCTAGCGAAACTTGGCTAATACAGATGTGCTACAACTTAGTGATATTGGTAATAATCCATTTATTCCACTATATATAGACACTACCTCTTTTTTATCCATTTATCTATAGATGGACACATGGGTTGCTTCCATATCTTGGCTCTTATAAATAATGCTGCAATAAACATAGGGGTGCGTATATCTTCTCAAATTAGTGCTTCCATTTTCTTTGTGTATACCCAGTAGTGGTATCATATGGTAATTCTATTTTTAATTTTTTGATCAATCTCCATACTGTTTTCCATAGTGGCTTGCACCAGTTTGCATCCCAGAACTAATGTTTCTAAGCACTATGTCACACTATTTCTACTAAACTGCATTGTGCATGATGCAGTCCCCTATACTTGAGACTATCTGCATCTGTTCACCCGAATTATAGAACTTCCTGGCAAAATAAAGGCTACTACCCCTTTGAACTTTGGCTAAATTTCCTTAGTATGCAGTGTAAGGAAATCTTGGTAATACTTCATAGACATCTATCAAACTACTGAGCTGTACTTTATTTGTTTTTAGAAATTGGAAACAATTCTTTTAGTGCCTATTATTTAGAGCCTCTGTTAAAAATACCATCCCCTCCAACCCACTCAAAATATATATTCCAAATCATAGTATTTAGTCTTTAGCTAGGCATATGCAGGAACACACAAGTGTATATCTAAATTAATTACAGTTAAGAATTTGATAAAATGTCGAGCCCTGTATGCTTGAAGTAATAACAAAATAACCCCTCAAAATCATGGTTTCAGAGGTACGTAAGTTAAAGCTAAATACATCGTCACTATTTGTGAATATCAAAATTAATTCCATTATGGTGTTCTATTTCTGAAATCACAGAACCATCCTCTGAGAATATGACAGCAAAATAATAGATTTTATATCCACAATTGATTCATCTTGCCATATCAGTGGATTAAAGTGAAGGAGATCTATGTGGCATTTATTATAACCATCAATCATTGAGATTATTGCTAGCTTTCCCATATTTAACCATTGTCACTTTTCTTCTATTTCCATGGTTCTCTAACTTGAATGTCAAAATATTAACCTACAGATTCCCAGACACAACCCCCAAATATTCTGATTGTAGGTCTGGCATGAAGCTTTGATAAATAGCCGAGATAATTCTTAAAATAGCCGAAATGATTCTCATACAGCTTATCTCTACCTCACACTTGAAAAGATAGTGCCTCATTTAAATATTGGAATAATCTGTCCCTTATTTTGTTTTTGGTAAATGAAAAATAAGCTTTTTATTTACAAAGATTATTCAACAAATATTTAATGAAAAACTGACAATATAGAAAAATAAAAGAAAAAGAGACAATAATTGTTACCTATTATCTGTTAACTCCTTGGTAAATACGTTTCTGGAGCTTTCTTCTATTAATATATGATATGATTATTTATGTATTCTACATTTATAGTATATTCTATATTCTACTATTTGTGTATTCTTTTGGGTTGTTTCCAGTTTCACATGTCAACATTTGGTTTCCTTTATTTTTAATTTTGTCTTTGTTTCTTAAATTCCTATGGAATCCTGTTGATCCGTTTCAAGTTCATTACCTCTTCCTTTGGTGTACACCACTAGAGCTTATATAGAAGTTGTTGCAGATAATGTTCTATAGTCACCCCTTGATTTGTTGTTAATTATGTTGTTCAAATCAGAAAATTTAAACGTCAGATTTCTTTACTGGTTTTTTCTTTGTCTTTTCAATCACTGAGAAATTCATGCTAACCTACCCTATTCTGATTTAGATTTGTCAATTTTGTATTTTTGTCCATTGTGTTTTCTATATTTTGAGACTACTGTAATTAGGTGCTGACAAATTATAAATTGTGATGACTCACTGAAATGAAATTCGATCATTACTGACTCTCTTCATCTCTGATAATGCTTTCTGGTTTTAATTCTATTTTGTCTATGAATCTAGATAAATCAGCGTTATTTTAGTTAGTTTAGTTTGCACAGCTATCTTTTCCATTCTTTTAACTTAAATGTTTCTCTGTCCTAACAGTTTATATGTGTCTCTTCCAAATAACATTTTATTTATTTTTTAACGTTTTCTTTCAATATTTATTCATTTTTAAGAGAAAGAGAGAGGCAGAGTGTGAGTGGGGAGGGGCATAAAGAGAGGGAGACACAGAATCCGAAGCAGGCTCCAGGCTCTGAGCTGTCACCACAGAGCCCGATGCGGGGCTTGAACTCATCAGCTCGTGAGTTCGTGACCTGAGCCAGTCAGGTGCCCCTCCAAATAATATTTTAGCTGAATCAAATGAAATTGCAATGCCTATGGTCTGAAAATTATCAACCATTAGCAATTTCATATGATTTAATCTCATGTTTGTATTTTTTTTTTTACTATACAATTAGACAATATTTGTCTTTTAACTGGAGCACTCAATCCTCTTTCTTTTAATATAGAGTACATCATGTGGCTTTTAGTCTGCTAACCTATTTTGTGCTTTCCATTTATCACACTTTTCTATTTCCTCTGCTCTTCTTTTAAATACATTTTTAATATTTTAAATTTTTTCTCTTTTTGGAAGTTATATATGCAATTCACCTGCTTTTAATTCATAGTCTATGAGTTCCTACATGTATTCCTAATTTATAAAGTTTAATGTTAATCAATATGTTGGCCCTATTCTTGGACAAATTCTTAACAACAGTTTCTTTGTACTCCCTTCTCAACTAATTGTTATTTTTTTATTTATTTTAGTTCTTTTTTAAGAAACCTCAGGTCATCATTATTTTTACATACAGTTAATATTCATTTATATATGTCAACATATTTACCATCACTGTTGTGTTCTTTCCTATTCTTAGATTTCTGACTTCCATCTGAGATAATTTTCCTTCTGCCCAAAGCAGATTTTTAAATTTCTCTTGAAATTG